TCATCCATAAGTGAATCCTTCTCTAATATTATTGCCGATTACATCGTGTTGCTTCATAGCAACCAATCAAAAGCGCGCTACATCAAAGCATATCTTGTCACATACCACTGATATTATATCTCACATTGTGTCAAAATGTTACCATTTCATTGTAGTTTCAAAATATTAAACAAATGCTCGGTCTACACTAAATTATGACAAATATTTGAAATAAAACCAACTACTGAAGGGCAAAAGACGAAACACGAGTCATGAAAATGCTTGATAGTAACTCTAACAGGATGTTTGGCAAAATTAAAGGCGGTGTGGCGTATTTAAGAAAGCGTAAAACTGCCATTCAAGGAAATCTTCACAGACAAAATGTTGAACTTTAGGTAGTTATAGTTCAAACTGAAATCGGGGAAGAAGGCATGAGCACGCACGAGGTAACACAAATTATTTGGAGAGCAATGGGAACGCTGAAAGTCGTACATGCATTGAATAAAACTGAACTGCAAGGACACCAAGCTTTGGACACGCATTTTCTAGCACTTTCGAGACCAGGCATTTTCTAATACCACCAGGTAAACGTACTGGGTAAACGGCACTGAGGTACTCATACCTATCGATTCATCGTTTTGTCAGCAGCTCTGCGTCATTAATAGTGGCAAGGTCACGCTTAACTCGTCTTTTGGCAATACTACGAAACCGTTTAGGCCGAAGGGGAGCTATTGCTATCAAATGACCAGTTCTCAATAAATTGATTCGAAGAACTCGATGCTTGGCTAGCAAAATTGAAAATTCAAACTCATACCTGGATTCTGAGTTGTCACAAATTGAAGACGTACCAGACATTGTATACTTGACAAGCATAACTATATCAGCAAATAGCAAAAGAAGGAGGTGCATTGTTCTCAGTATTTGGACTCGGAATCTGTTGCTTGACCATGCCTTCACCAAAACTTGAGAAGAGAACAGCGTGGCAAGAGCATTCCAACCAAAAACACTACCCAAAGCACTTGAATACATTCAGCTGAGTCAAGGAACAAAGCTTTCATGCAAATACCAAAACTTCATAACTCCCACAACTTTATAATTCCTAAAGGCATAGAACAGCACACGCAGACTTAAAACAATAGCGAAAGCGTTAACCTTGACACCTAAATGAGGATATTAAAAACCCTCTAGTGAAATTAAATTCTACAACAACCCTCGTGAAATCGTCTCTGATAAAATTTCATTTGATCACCGTTTAAAAAGCTTTAGTCTGCCTGATTGAATCTTCTGCTTTCAATATGCTTGTGTTACGAGCATTCTTTATGTGAAAGGAATCCGTGGTCAGACTGAAGGAATCTTTTGAAGCATCTCTTAGTGTATTTTGTGTCATACGTTATTCTGGTAACTTTGCTTTCTTGCCTTTTTTAAACATACAAGCAATGAAAGAACTATTCCTTTTCAAACGCATGTTATAGTGAAGAAAGCAAAATTACTACATTTCAGATAAAGTTCCATATATTTTCTGCTAATCATTCTGCGGTATTGATACAAAGTCCAGGAATATATGTAACTTTCTTATCATAACAGTATTCCACATACATTTCTATTTTCTTTTTAGCCAATTTGCTACTGTAATCATGTGATCTTAACGACGAATTCATCTCAAAATATTTTGTTTTCTTGCTTTCGGCATCAGATTTCTTCAATTGTTCAAACGCTTTTACTTGTATCAACAATTTCTCAAACAATTCTCTCTTTCTCATTGATCATTAAATATTAACAAATCTTTTTTATTGATAAAATAAAGTCATAACACTTTGTATTTGTGAAAAATGCCGTCTTCCGAAGAAAAATTAAAATCGAACGAATAATGGTATTAACAGAACAATCGTTATAATCAATACCTTTCGTTTCCTCAGTTTGTGCAAGAACGCAGTTTATAATTCTGATTTACTTTGGATCTTCAAAGGAACTTTGATAAACAATACAAGGTGTTTTCCATTATTGAATACTACCAGTTGAGGAATCAATTGAAGAAATATAGATTTTCTTCGTGAAAAAATTGGCTGAGTATGCAAAGTTTGGGGCGATGTAAACGAACTTTCAGAAACAGAATGAGATGAACACAAAAAATTATATTCAGAATTCTAAAACTGTTTTTAATTCCAGGGCAATTACTAGTGATGTCAATGAAACCTAAGAGCTGATGCTTCTCAAGCTTCTATTTTGGCTTCTTTGTTATTGCGTCTGATTAACTGCATTTAGCTGGTAAAAATTCTCTTGCTAATTACATGGCTAGAAACAGAAAATATTAAGCAGTATTAATCCAAATAATTCTTTCCAATATAGCTTCATGAAATTTCTTGACATTAAATACTTTACTGAAAAACCACAGATTGCATGGTGGTTTTTGTAAATTATATATTTTTTAAACTGATTTTGAACAATCATAATAATATGATTAAGAACAATGTTTGTGCTTGATTGAGCTGCCTCCACTGTCCATTGTAGAGCTATGTCCATTGACTTTAAGATGCCTTCTACAAGGTTTGGCTGCAGAATGGGAGAAATTTTGGGACAATGCTATTTGTCTGTTGTTCGGCATCTGCTGTTGAAAGGTCCAAATGTACTTGCTCTTGGTACGTCTATCCACGACAAATTGGTGTCACTTTCCGCCTGTTTATCTCTAAGCTCAATGCCATGACAAACTCTTGTCCTGTCAAAGAATTGCAATATTATTGCCATTTATATTTGGCCTTCGACTGCTCGAATATCGTTTCTTTCTCAATAATCTCAATCCAACAGCTACTCAGATGGAAATCTAGACTTAATTTGCATTGCATTCGTTTGATGTTGGAAGGTTCATAGGTTGCACTGCTCAAAGTCTAGATTCAACCAGAGTGCCAAATGTTAAGGATATTTCTGATTGTTCTTTCGCTGCACCGTCACAACCAGAAAACCAGCGCATTATTGCCTCAGCCTTCCATTGAATGCAACGAAAAGCACAGAGTTTACACACGACTCCATTAGCAAAAGCTGCAACAGCCAGCCAGCTTCTGCACTGCCACAGGAAATTTTTCAAATTTTCTGCTTTTATGATAATATAGAGGATATCTGCAGATAGCATTGGTTGCACGATAACTTCAATGTAGAGATCAGAAATCATCAATGCCAAGATGAATCGATAAGCAATGTTTCACAGGACATCTAGTTCAAAACTATGTTTATCAGCAATAATGTAGTAGAAATTATAAGCAATATTGCTGTACAGTAAAACACGAGTGTTCTATAGAAGAAGTGAAATGCAAAACAGTCGCTGATATATTGAAGAAAAAGATGCGTAAAATCTCGAGGTAAACTTTCCATTGAAAACAAACTGCTACACGACCGAATTCTTCAACCGAACTTTAACAGAAATCCAACGGTACGTTTGTCTTTGGATCTCAAAAAGCAGTATTTATTTTAGCTGGATGTGAATAAAAAAGGCCACAGGAAAATTTTTTTAAATGTGGTATTGTAATGCAAAGACAAAAGTGCGAGATTTCACCTCAGTTGAGCCGAACCTAATGCAATGTTGCTTTGTAGCTGTGGAAAAAATTCAAATAGGAACACAAATCGAAAATTCGACTTGCCCGGACCAGAGAAGCAAAAACCTTATAAAACTAAAACAGTGAGGAAGCTTTTGTTGCATGTTGTATTTTACATTGTGTTAAAATGAGAAAAGTTGAAACCTTGAATTGTAGGTTTGAAAGAAAGTAAACAACCTTTCGCAACTCTGGCCCGGCGGAAAATTAGATTGCCTTGAAGGTTTTCGAACTTAAGATCGTTCCTATAGACAAATAAAATAGAAGATAACGTTTGTAAAATCAAAAATCATATCCAGAATTGGATTGCTTCAGTGAAAATTTTCAAAACATTTTTAAAACCTGGTTTTATTAAGTATGGGCATAACTGCTGTTAATTACATCGAAACGTTAATTTATCGCGCAAATCCATCAACCGAGGACGCTGTCAGTTATCAAGTTAAGATTTACCTGAAGATTACCAGGTTCAAGCGTCATCAGGTAGCATTAGAAAGCTATAAATGTCATAACAGCGTCATCGATATTCAAATTGCCTTTTTAATCGCTTTTTCATATTTGATCCAGATTGTCACAACTCGTTGCTTGATTGGTCAGTTGATATTTGATGAGTTTCTTCCGACCAATAAGACATGTTGCCTGATTTGCATATGTGAAAAGCCGCTTTTTGATTGGTCAGATGAAATCGACAGGTGAATTCTGATATATCCATAATTACCTTTCATTCAGGAAAAACGGGTTAGCAAAATCTTTCAGATGACGGGGCAATTGATTTGGACTTAAATAATTCAAGAGGTAAGATGATCCAAGCCAACGTATCAGATTGTTGAATACTATCTCAATGTTCACTTGAAGTTGGGAAACCAATGAAAACCAAATTAAACCAAGGTAAACCAAGGTAAACTAAGGTAAACCATCACAAATCCAGTACATCAATACTCAAGTACAACCTACCCTTCATTTTACTAGCCTCTGTTTGAGTATACTCTCTAAAAACACGAAATTTACGAGTCTTGCAAATCACGAAAAACCCGCTACATGTCGTTTTATCACTTAAATGAATATTCAAAGTTTCCTTTTTACAAGAAACACAACAAAAACAAATAAAAACCGCAGACAGGATAAATACTGTTTAAACAAGACAAAACAAAACATACCTTGACACTATATTGAAGACTTTAAAGGTTTGGTCATTGCTTAACTGAACCCTTAGTAAGGGAACAAAATGCATGTCTTTTTTACAATGGTTTATAAAACGAAAAACTACGGATGCAATACTATCAAATCAAAGCGCTAGCTAAAACCATTGGTACACCTGAGTAGATGTTTGGGAATTTTTATTAGTACCCCTTTCTTTCCCTGCAAACAAACTTGTTTAATATGATTTAAGAAGCTTCATTAAGAAGCGTGATAAACTCTTTTCAGATTATTGTGGCAGTAACCTCTATAATAAACTAATAAACATTGTTAGGAGGGGGGAGGGGGGGTAGCGATTTCTAATACTCTAACCGGAAACTGTTCATTATACAAAACTGTGTCCTTGCCACAGGATGTTCCAAGGAATGGCAAGGATTTCATACTGCAACAATTATACTTTAAACCCCTCAAGGAATTAAACTACTCGGATGGTCCATGGGCTGCAAAACACTAAAGCTGCAACCATATGGGCCTATGGCACTACCTTTAGATTGTGACAAATGGCAATGGATTGAAAAGCTGTCCTAATGTAACGAGTTTGTTTTTCTGAATTCATGGTTTATAGAGGGACGTTACTAAATAGATAAGACACCGATTCCCCGTTATGAGTTCGGCGGATGGCTTCGGCAAGTATCGGCGAAATGTCAATCACCTAGAAAACAAAAAGGACTAGAAATAACAAATAGTTTACATGAAAGAGAAACTTCGAACAAAATTCAGGAAAAATTCCGAGAAACGCCAAAAGATTTTTTTTTTCACTGTCTAGAATATATTTGACAGTTTTCAGGAATATAGAAAAAACACTTGGTAAGCCCTGAATTAGATCTCTTGCCCGTTGAAAAGAAAAGATTCTGACCAGGTTTGTTTCGGGATAAGACTTTGTCCACATTGCATCAAGTTTTAAAATACCACTTTAAGCAATTATGCTATACTGCCAAGAAAAATACAGATTTAATCACAACAGTGCAATATTGTGGAGACAAGCCATTGCTGCAAGTTGTGAGGTTGTCCTTTTCGATGAGATCAGTTGCCTTAACAGTAGCAATAAACAGAATGCCAGTAAGTGTACGCAGAAAGGCATACCCATGCCAAAAATAAAATCAACATGTTCATTTTATAAGAAAACAGAAATCAGAAGAATTGACAGGCAAAATCGATAAACACTTCGGCACAATATAATTGAATATTGAAGGAAAGTTTCCACCGTTCTATAAATGCTGAAAAAGTAGCTTTAAACCGATTTCATTTGTAAAAAGCCAAAAAAAATTGAGGAGACTAGTATAGTTTCGAGCCTCAGTAACGACCAGCAAATGGAGCTGCTTTGATGGGAAAAAATCCATGTCCATTATTAGTTAGGGGTTATGATTAGTGTTAGTGTCCTATGTTCCGCTATTTCGTGCCATCGTCAAATGTTATGAGTTAGTAGGATTATAAGGTAAGATCACCTTGATTTTGCTGCACTTGTTAGCTTTCTCTTCCTGTGGGATAGTGTTCGTCACTACAATAGCTTCGCCATCTGACTCTGCTATTCTGCTGACTGCTGGCCCCGAGAAGATGCCATGGGTACACACTGCATATACTTTGAGCGCCCCAGCCTCTCTTAATCTGTAAATTAGCAGATTCCTCTTATCTATATACTCCAACATAATCAATTAGTTTTGTGATTATATATTTATTACATAGTAGATTTAAATTTAAACAACACGATAGTGATAATAAAAATTTTCTGACAGTTTAATAAAATATTAGTTCAAATGTATATAACAGGTTAGAGAAATAAATAAGCGTTTTCATTAAAAAGTAAGTTTACAAACTAATGACAACAAAAGACTTCAATAAAAGGAATAGAGGTTACGAAAAAATTAACCATGGTGGCAATATTTGCCAGGAAAGCAATCCTTTCAATTGGCTGCATTTAGAAACTAAACAAATACAAAGTTTACTTCTCATTTCTCAAATCAGAACGAGCTATTATGGAAGTGTGGGCATAACAAGAAATAAGCAACTTCAATTTATGCAACGGGTTTTTATTCCATAATTGTGCTGAACTATGATCAGATGTACTCATTCCACCGTTCGTCTTTCTCACAATTTACAAATTCGATCATTTACATACATGATCTTTGTTATGAAATCATGCTTTACTAAATTTTACATTACATTCACTCAATTCTACATGCTTTACAAAGCCCAACAAACTAGAGCTCTTGGCTTTGTTAGCTGTTTTCTTCCTTATATGAAATGCAAATAATTACACATCTAACCATATATTGAACAAGATTTCCATGGTCTTTCTATGCAAAGTTGTGCGATAAGGCAATACAAGTAAAATCTCTGTAGAAACCTTTCATTATTACATATACATGTTTGTATAAAACTCGAGTAAACAAGAAGATCATACTTGCTAATTGCCAGCATCATAGTTCCACACGTGTCAGCCATATCATCTACCAGAACAGCTACCTTATCACGAACATCGCCAACTAGCACCATACTGGCCACTTCATTTGCTTTCTTCCGCTAGAAATTCAAACATTACTGTACATCAAAATAGAGATTTTCCAGTAAGAAAAATTTAGCCTTAATTTTGAGAATTTTGCGGTTCATAAAGACTTTAAAAATAATGAGTTGTTTTTTCAAAACAGATAGGATATAGAAGAATTCTTATAATAATGGTAAGCCCGTGCCTTACAATGAGCAAAATCTGTTGATAAACCATTTTCATAAAAAGCTTGATGAAAAACAGCAAAAGTATCAATTGCCAAGTTGAGTTAACTATGTACCTTGCAAGGCAACTGTTAACTACATCACCATTTAAAAGTTGAAAAGTCAACTGTGTACCTTGCAAGGCTCCCTAAGTGGATGTCAGTGTTTCCATGGTACACCACTTGATAAAAAATCAGCTCAGTCAATAGACTGTCAAGATATGATGATCATGAAATGATCAAAACACAGAAAGAATCTAGACAATCATTGAAAAACCAACTCCATTACTGAAATGAATTTCTGCTGGTTGGATAACCTCCACAAGGAAGCCTTTCCGATAACAATTCATCTGAATGAGAAAAATGAATATAGATTTAACTGCAAACCTCTTTGTGAATCAAAGCAAAGTCAACATTAAGCTGGTCTGCTATTGATGTTACTCTAAAATAAAAGAATGGTAATTGTCAGAAATGAAAATAAGTCTAATAACATTTTGAATGTTCATTACTTCAAAGTTAATTAGGAGAAATAATTCTTGCATTCAAAATAATTTTCAATTGGCACAGGATTGTGCTACTTTCAAGGTAATACTTCTATGGAATGTCTGATAACAAATGCAAGCTTTCTTTTGATTGGTCAACTATTCATAGATGCGGAGTAAGCCTATTTGATATCTTTTTAACCTTGTCTGCCTTCTGCATATCATTCTACAAATGGTACAACTTGTGACAGAGGATATTCAGCATAATGTAGGGAAAATTTAATGCACTTAGCAAGGTTCTAATGCAGTTACCTTTTGGCACCACCTGCATCAGGTGAAACTATGACACACTTCTGTAACTCTGGAATATTATCTCGTATCCACTTTAACACAGCTGGTTCTGCATACAGATTGTCAACTGGTATATCAAAGAAGCCCTAAAATTAGTTAAAAAATATACTTCAATTTGTGAATGATTTTTCTTTTCAAGGGTTCAACTGAAGACGGTTGAAACTGATGCGCACATTGAAATTGGAAAAGGAAATCCACAAGTACCTGAATTTGTGAAGCGTGAAGGTCCATTGTTATAATGTGGTCAGCACCAGATACAGACAGCATATTTGCAACCAGTTTTGCGGAAATTGGTGCTCTACTCTATAAAAAAATAGAAGTATATATCCAACAAGTGATTTTTTCAATTCAAATTTTTGGAAACTCAAAGTTGTTTTCTTACCAATTGAAGAAACTAGTGACACAAACAGTGAGATAGAAAGATCAATCATAAACCCTCTTCTTTTAATAAGTATGATCAAAATGAATAAGTCAGATTCACATAAATGCAACCCCAAGCAAGTTTGAAATCATCTATGGACAAAAGGTTTCAAAATCAAACGGTCATTGGAATCCTTTTGTGCAATTATCCGAAATATATTTTACAAGCTTAATAATATCAATTTTGAATCAACACAACGCAAAAGTGCAAAATGTGGTTTTGTATCTGTTTACACTGTAAATATTTCAAAAGCTTCTAGGTTTAAGTGCCTTGATGCATTCTAAGCTTTTTGATGTCTAGCCTTGTTCACAAGATTTATTCAACACAAGTGAAAATTCCTTACCATAGAAGCTCCAACTAGCTCCCCTCCACTCTGTTTGTACAAGAAGGACAGAAAAAGCAAGGATTTAGAAGCTGATAAGTAAACTTCTTGCACAATATTTCCAAAATCAACTTTTTTTGTCCAAGTTTTGCTCCTAAATTCTTTAGCAACCTTCAAGACTGACATAAAGCAGTAGGTGCTCCTAGAACAACTTTGCCCTTTAAAAATTTGCAAATCAATAAAAATATCCTGATTGACCAATGATCAACTAGGTTTCCAGTTCAGTCCTGAAAACCATGAAGATATTCAAACTGCAAAGGCATCATCTCTCTCTCCAACTTTTGAAACCACCCACTTTCTATAAAACTCTCTCTCTCTCTTTTAAGTCCCTTCTGCAACCTTCAGAACTGATAGAGCCTCTGGGATCTTAATAGACCTTATATCACACAATGACAATGCCATTGGTGTTGTTGGCAACACACAAGCATTTTTCCAAAAACTTTATTTGACAAGTACACAGATAACATTTACACGTTGGAACAATGTTTACTTCAAACAAAAGCATACACCACAAAATCTGATACAGAACTGAACAGTGTTTGCTTTAACACAAAGTTTAATCAACAAGAATTAAATAAATATTGAAATTAAATTAATCAAACCTTGTCTTTCTTGTCTTGTCTTGCATATGGGTAGCAGGGAATGACTGCAGTAACACGCTGAGCTGATGCAATCTTGCATGCATTTATCATGATTAAAAGCTCCATTAAATTGTCATTTATATCTCCACATCCACTTTGTATAATATAAACATCTTCACCACGAACTGATTCTCTAATTTCAACACTAGATAAAAAACCAAACATTATCAATAAATTCAAAATTATGTCAGGCACAAGGAAGAGGGTAAATACATAGCAAAACAGACCAACAATACCTGCCAAAAGTACTTGGAACACCCAGCAATTTGCGTTGCATTTTAGATCTTTCATTCTTTTTCCAAAAAAAGTACTACTTCTGCCCCCTTCCCCCTAGAACAATATTGATAATTTAGAGAAGTATCATAAAAGAAATGCATAGGAAAGTGCTTCCTAAAATTCTAGCCCATTTTATAGTAAACCAACATTGTTCCATGGGGGAGAGGGGGATGATTAATTTTGAGCTTGCAGACTGATGCCAGTGCTCTAAGACTTTTGGCAAGCATTGAAGCATCAATTTTTTATCCAAGGAAAAGTTTAGATGTAGTGCAAAAGGAGGTAAGTAAGATTCTGAGAAGCATTAAGTTGATCAACCTTAATCTCAAAAAATTCCAGAAGCTTGTTCACAAAAAAATGTTAGAATGGAAAGGCCTCCATGTGGAAGAGATTGAGATTAATAGAATCTTTGCTTTATTATGATTAATACAATATTGTACAAGTTCTTCAAAACAACCTCCTTTTCTACACTTCAGGTGTGTGACATTAGGGTATCCGAATGACTCATTTTCTGGTAATGCATGACAATTAAAGGGACAAGTGAAGGGGCATTGATGCCCTAAATGAAAAGTTAATAGATGTAAAAACAGCTTCTCTTTCTTGTTTTCATACAAGGTGACTACTTCTCTTATAAAAATATTTTCAACAAATGGCAAAGTATTTGGTTACACTTCATCAATATGCTGAAATCTTCAATTATCTTAAATTTGCATTGAAGCTTAATTTGAATAAAGAATTATTGAGCCCTGTGATTGTTCCGGATGGCTCTGAAATATGTCCACAAATTTAATATGTCATAGATCATGTGTCTAAATGCTATCCAGAAAAAATCTGCCAATGCCAGGAAGTTTTACACCACTCTACTGCTAGGGTCCTTGGGCTCAGTGGCCAGTGTGGCCTTTGGTCAATGCATTGGTTTTATGCACTGAAAGTAATCCGAAATTTAAGCTTTAAACTAAGGCAGTAAAGTCGCAGAATTCTGCAAGGATGATATTCAAATTTAATGGCCACCACTCTCGTAAGCTTGATCATGATAACACAATTATGTCAACTTCTCTTTGTGATAAGGTAGGGATGTGTATTCCAGAAAAGGTTTGAATTGTACTTTCTCGTCGTTTTAATAGCAATCGTTTTTGAATTCTAGTTTCTCAAAATTCTATATTTTATGGATGTAAAATAAAAAGATCAAATATAAACGCAGATTTGCTTCAAAGCATCTTGTTGTTTAGGTGAACATAAGATCGTTGTCAATGGGTTTTTTTCAATGAAAAAATACTCCTTGTTCCAGCAACTTGAAGGCTAAAATAATTTCTCTAGTCAAAAATAAATTTATTATAAACTTCCGTAACTGCACGAGTTATAGTTTGTTGTTACAATGCAGAGTCAAATTTTGCAATTTAAAGCCTTGCTTTTAGATTTTCAAAGACAGCTACTGAATTTATCTGGTCCAGAAAAATAACTGTTTTTATTTCCTCAAGGTCTTTGGACAGGAATGTGTTTTATTTGCATGCGGCAGTCCAAAAAATTTTTTTTGACTGAATCTAGGTAGGCCTAGGCTTTCTGGAAAAGCTCACCTGGTTTCGTGGTTGGAAAACTTTTTCAACTTTGTCTTTCCGAGTTCCAAGCCAAGTCTTTCAGCTATCAACTTGGCCAGTTCCAGATGCGAACTTCCTCCGAAAATTTTGATGTTTGGCATTTTTGGCTCGAATATCTTTTCTTCGCGCAACGTGGTCTCAGTCGGTTTATTCAGCATGTGAAGGTCGCTGGAAAAGTCCAACAAAGTTTGATCTAACATAGCCACCTTAATTCACCTCAATCCCGTCAATTGAATTTTTTCATTTTTTTGAAAGGTTTTACTACTGCCGAAAAATTACTGCAGAAATTGATGCCACAGTCCCTCAAGATTTTTGTTGGCCCTTAATTACCCCCTTAATTTCAAAAAAGGTGTTTACTTCAAATACGTCCTAGTTTGCAAGGGTTAATTATCTGTATGTTTTGCATTATAATGGTTTCCATTCCATTGTTTTCCAACAACGTTTATCGTTTTGCTTATGGCAATCTTTTCTTGTCAGTTACGTAAAGTTTCACACACACGTTGGTTAATAGACATCAAAAATCTTTGTTGATATATCTTTCTCAAGACAAACCAAATGGTGCTTCGATCTGTATCCGAAAATATCGATCAACCAATTTCAAGTAATGTGTTGATATTCCGATGTTCTACTTGATAAAACGAACTATATATTATACTTACAGCAGCCCATCCTTTTACCTTTCTGGGCAGGTGGATTGGGCATACTTTCCATCAGGACAATGGGAATGTCCAATTTTCATTCAAGAATTTGTAAAAGGAAATCTCCTTTAGATGAGTGTTTTATTTAATTTAGTGGAAAGCTTTTGTCTGTTTTTCGATAAATTACACATCAGAATACTTTTGATCAGCTGCACCACATCAAAGAGCTATATTGCGCACTTTTACGTGTGGTATATTAAGATACTTCGTACATATGTAAGTGCATATTACGAAAAACAGAATCACCAGCATGGGAAAGTGCGAGCAGAACATTTTGCTTTATGGGAAATCAAGTTCTTGTTACCCTACTAGGGCACCCAAATAAAGAAAATGTTATGCAACGCTTTCACCAGCTCCTATTCGAACAGGAACTATAGGACAGAAACTCAGCTGAAACTGAGATATTGAAATTTAGCTTTTGCTGTGTGAAGAAACGACCAAGGTCACATTAGCCAGCAAAGCCAGCTGCTCTGTCAAGATAAGTTTCTGCGAAAAAGCAGGAATACTCAGAGACCTTGTAACCGTAGCTTCTTCATGCAAAAATAAAGAGAAGATCAGGCAAATGAAAAAAGAAAAGTATTTTGACTGCGCTAGAAAATATATTGACAGTTTTCCCCTCCTGAATGAAAGGCATTAAACAATGGAGGCAATTTTATAGTAAAATCAAAACTATTTCACAGACTGGCCTTATGATATGCAAAGGAGTTCTTGCCATATCCAGTTCTTAAAAGTGAAGTTGCAAGGTCAGCTCTAGAAATTCTAAACTTTCTTGGATGTACCCTAGACAACCTCACGCAAACATCGCAAATAAAACAATGTGCAGGAGAGATGAGTTTTATAAACCAGAAAATTTCATATTTCTTTATCTGTCGAAATTCCTAAACACAACCAACCATGTCTCTGAATCAAGAGTAGCTAAGAGGTAGTGATATGATGCTTTTGTATCAATCATATATGGCATCAGTTTTATCAAAATATCGGGCATTCTTCAATTGGCTGAATTCCATGGAGGTTTTTGTGTACAGCACCTGCAAAAACTTATTTGGAAATTATAAATAGTACTTCGGTACATTTTTTCCGTTTACATGATCGATATCTTCCCTCTACTTTGAAAGAAGGAAGTAAGTATATCTAGATCGCTTCTCAGTTTATTTACTTTAGGCCACGAACAAGTTATCAAAAGCCTGAGTTTTGACATCATCAAGGAATGCATTGCCTTTTGAGTACTTTTCGATGCACGAGAAATCCATCATTCAATATTGGTGAAGTTCCTCCTTTTTGTAATAGACTAGAAAATATCCCTGCAATCGGCATACATGGTTGTTTTTGCCTTCTCTACAGGAAATGGTAAGAAATTTTGTAAAAAAGATTAACAAAGGACCCTAGGCACGATCCGTGTGATACCCCAGTGGTTTTTCATAAACACTCAAGTACTGCTTCCGGTTATAAAGATAATAACTGAACACTTTATGTGCTAGTCCATGAATTCTATAGATTGAAACTGTTTGATCATAAACTATGTTCGACGCTGTCTTGGGGCCAAAAATATACTTGCAGTATACCTCCAACTGTCTACATCGATATACCAGTCATTTGCAGCTTTATTCACCATCGAATACTGCGGATGCCTAATAACAGCTTCAGATTTATAATGCATTTCTTAAATTTTAAAGAATGCACTTTTTTTGAAAATTTTAGAAAGTTTTGAAAAATTTTAGTTTCTCCAGCAAAATCACAATTCATCCATTTGTTGTTTGTAAATAAAACTTAGATCAATATAAATTGTAGCTTCTATCTGTTATTGCGACACAATAAGCATTTCAAGATTACTACTTTTTCTTCATCATTTTATTCTTTTGGTGACTTAAGTTTTTTAAATTGGTTGATAATATTTGATTACAAATTTTAAACTATTTCTGTCTTAAAATTTTCTGAAAACATTTGAGAGTTTCAATTTTTTGCTTATATTTTTTACTATAAATAAAGAATTCGCAAAAATAATATCATTGAAAAAAATACTGATCTTCGAAACTTCGAAAAGGAACATCCATGAAAATCTAGATTTATTTAACCATCAAACTAAACACTTCTGTGCATTGAGTTTTTTTTAAGCTCTCCTTTAAAGGGTATTGCATTCAGGAAAAAACTGAGCTGAGTTTATCATAAACTCTAAAGAAACTTGGAATTGGAATTTGGTCCCTCTTTCTCACAAAATTATTTCCAATATCCCCGCTTGATATGATGATTCCTTATTCAAGATATAAGTTTTTAAAATTTACCACCACCGTAATAAAGTGCGCAGGAAAAAAAAGAAGATGTCCTGTGTTCCTAGAATATATGGCGCAAACAAGAGACAAGTTCATACTTTCCCAACATCACTTGCAAAGTCATGTTGATCTTTATGTGAAATACTTATCATTGTGACTAAGACATATCTGGCTACTATTAAAGGCAATCGACAAATACATAAATGGCTTAAGCAATCTTTCAATCAAAACTGGCCAATCAATAAGCGTAATATCACTCACGTGCTTTTTGATTGGCCAAAAGTTGAATGACAGACGGTTCAAGCCATCTTAGTTCTTTTCGATCGCCTTTAAGGGTTAACAATAGCTCTGCGCTATCAGAGAGCGTTGAAAACTTTATCCACAAGACATACCTTGACGCAAGCAAAATAAAAATACTCTCGAAATAAAAAGCAAGTTTGAAAAAGGAATAATTTTTACATCTATTTCTAACTTCTTTTTTTAAATTTTTAATTTTATGGAATACCAATTTCATTTTACTACAAAATTATATTATTTATCCAGCTTTGAAAAAAATATAACACGTAAGATGGCATAAAAATCACCTCTGAAATTTCAATAAATCAGCAATAGAAATATCCCATACTTCTTAGCATCTTTCAAGTATGCTGTTCTTGAATGGTCTTGCGTCTTTTGGACAATGGGACACCGGATCCAGTCTCAATGACATCATTTTTTTCAAGTGGCTCTACTAGTTTATTATGGACATCCATCAAGCCTTTGAAATATTTAACAGTCTTAACACGCAGCTCAAGTGTAGCGTCTTCGTCACATACGATGATAGTTCTTGGGTGCTGCTGGAAGGCTGATACGGTCCACATATGGTTGACGCCTTCTTCGATGGCTTTGTAAAGTGCAAACGCTTTGTGGGCACCTGTTATTAGTACCATTACCTGAAAAATACAGAGATGGCTGATTTACTTTACAATCCATTATAATAGCAAGAAATATGTAACCTACTATTAGAAGGAGAGTTTCACACTTTGGTAAAATCAGGAGATTTATATAAATTGTTCTCTGCTTCTTGGTTTCTTGTAGAAAAAAAGTATATGCAGGCAGATTCAATCACTAAAGTACTAATGCAAAAATAACCTCTTTGGCATCCAAAACCGTACCAACACCAACAGTCAATGCCATCAATGGAACTTTACTAATATCGCCACCAAAAAACCTTGCATTGGCAATTATTGTGTCTTTAGCCAGAGTTTTGACTCGTGTGCGTGAAACCAACGACGATCCTGGCTCATTAAAGGCAATATGCCCATCTGGTCCGATACCTAAAACGAGAAGATTTAACAATGATGTGGCAAACTAAGCAAATTAACGAGAATTCAGCCTTAGCCAGTGCCAGGGTTAACAAAAGTAGCAGATTATTGCCCACAGTTACTTAAGGTCTGGAAACGAGTCTGTTTGATCAGATTTGAACTGTGCGTTAAAAAAGAAACCAGTAAGATTTGAATCAACATAATTCAGCAAGATTAGATTTAAGTATAACTGCTATCAGATTTCAAATTGGATTTACATTTCAAAATTTTTTCACTATCCATTTTCTTTGATAAATAATTCTGCCATTAATGCAAACTTTGCAAAGCTGGCATTATTGGATCAAGCATGTGACTATGAGAGTTTGAATACTGACATTTATAACTTTTGAACCTTAGCAGTTACATTATTTAATAGAGTTTGGATATTAGAGATAAACTACATTTTCAGCAGTTGACAAACTGGCAAGCAAAAATCTTCATTCAAACTTTGCCTGCACCGTCGTAGATTCTGGCAAACTCAGCTCAACATTTCCATAAAAATTATTTTCTATTATTTGCTTACAATTAATACATTTCATGAAAAATATGATGCTTATGCAATCAAGATCAGATCTTTAATTTACAAAAAAAAACTTAACCAGCTATTAAAAACTCACTAGGAGTTGCAACAGAATTTTTGACTCAGTCTTATCATATTAAGAAATCAATGAAGGTCCTCTTCACCAATATCATAAATGAAATTGAGACAATGGAATGAAAAAAAGTAGTAAACTTGACACAAAACTGGTACTCAATTCAAACTGTTACTTTTGTCATCCAGCAATACTTCCAGCATTAGATTTTCATTCCTATGCAAAATCAATCTTCTTTGCTTCTTACTAAATTTTACACCACCTTCCTAGGACTAGGACAGCAATTGGAGAGTGGCAGAGAATGAAAGGAGTACCCAAGAAAGAAGCTCAGAAGCAACAATCCCATCAGAATTATCTAAACTGGTTCCATTTTTTACATGAAACATCTTCTTTGAAGAAAGACAAATATTTTGAAATGTTTTACCTCATTACCCCCCATCAACACCAACATGTGGGGGCACCCCTCCACTGGATAACTGTGTAATAAGTGTTAAAGAAATCAATCCATGCCAATGTCAATAAATAAACAAACAAACCTTACCTCCAAGGAAAAGATGAATACCTCCAGCCTCTTTGATCTTCTTCTCAAAATTATCACATTCTAGATCTAGGTTATCTGCATTCCCATCCAGGATATGTGCATTCTTTGGCTCAATGTCAATATGTTTGAAAAAATTTGTCCACATAAAGGAATGGTAGCTTTCTGGATGATCTCTTGGCAGGTCTACATACTCATCCATGTTAAATGTCTTAACATATTTGAATGAAACTTGGCCTTCTTTGTGAAATTCAATCAACTTCTTGTACATGCCAAGAGGTGTTGACCCTGAAAAACATTTTAAACATTAAAAGAATGCATTTCTTAAGCCCAAAAATAGCACAGATAATTGCCCACTTTCAAGCTCCATATAGATGCAACAGAGAAATAGGTGGGCAAATTATAGACCTATCCTCAAAAAGTATTGCACCGGTACTGCAAATGAGTAATGGCAACAGAATTGTAGACAACATGGTCTTTGAAATTTGAATCATTTTAGTGAAGCCATCAAGTGTCAAACTTTTTTGAAAACTAATTAAACCAAGCTTTGTCAAAAATGTTAACCTTTTCTTGGACTATCTCAATACTTTGAAACCTTTGTGAGAATTTTTTAAGATCTGATCAAAAACCATTGTAGCTATTTGTTTGTTAGAGCTATTTGAAATTTAGCAAGCTAAAAAAATATTTGGAAACAGTACTCTGATTTAGTGTCAGGTGGTGCAATACCTTGTATGATAATTTTTATGATAATCAAAAAGATAAAAAAAATAAATTTTAAAACAGTTTTACCATGTGAAACTTGATGAGATTTTAATTAAAACTGACCAATTAGTAATACATTTGAATATGCTAAACTTTTTGGATGGAAATTGGAGCTGCAAAGGGCCTAATGGTAGTGGCTGCTTTGTGATTTATTGCATCAGAATTCAATCAATAAAATGTGTCACAAATCGTCAACCCCATCTTTCCCAACCATTTGTGATGTTGGGATAGGGACAAATAATGCTGTTAGTTGCTTGAAAAACATTCTATCTCTTTATTGGATGAAAAGACCAAAATTCCCACGATAAACAGGTACACTCAAAAACTGCGAAAGAGTCAGCATAATGAAATGGCTTAAAACATGGCACTTTCCACCAAATACAAGGCCATTAATAATCAACTTGGTACTCCAACACCTAAATGCGATCTTGCAAATTTTTTTCTGAACTTATCATCACAATTAACAGAACCTGTTACAAAACTTTTTAATAAAGTTTAGCAAGTCTGGGAAAGGTTTCAGGTAAAGCTGCGAGACTATTCGATAAAAAGTTGATTTTTTTTTACTTTTTAAAAAGTAAATTCTTCAATATTTTAATATTTAAACTAAGAGTGTTGCAAACAGTTTGAAGTTTAGTTTGATTGGTTTTTAACTATACAATTACACCTAATGGCTTCACAAAAGTGGTTTCATTTTCGGTCACCAGGTTGTTAACAATGCGGTTGCCATTACTCAATTGTCCAACCTGTGCCACACAAATGCTCACTGAGTGTAGTTTGCCGGTTCCATGTAGAGAGTGAATTCACAGTTCCATGTGGTAAAATTATTTCGAACGGGAAACTACAAATGAATTTCAAATTCTAATAGACACTACAGGCTATAAGTCATGCAACATGGCACAAAAAGTATTTTTCAGGAAATAACATATGTTGAAAACAAAACAAACAGGCTGATATCATTTTTGGGACTGGGAAGACAAACAATTACCTGTTGGAAGCCCAAGCACAAAGTATCTGTTGGGGCCTGGATTGAACTTGTTAATTCGATTTCTGACATACTTTGCAGCCCATTCACTGACAAGGTCATAGTCGTCAAGAATTACTAGTCTCATCTTGAATCCAGCACCTGCAGATAATATTACAATTCATTAGAAAGAATCAGCCATCAGATAAATATAAACTTAAAGATTAAATGAAGAAAAGCAATGACAAATGTCAAAAATGATACAAATTCTTCAACTTTTTAACATAACAGAATCTACATAAAAACATTAAAAAAGAAGAGAATGCTCACTAATGTGTGACTAATATCATTTAAGGGGTCAGTTACCAGTATTCATATGTTGCTTCTAAGAACATTTGGTTGTTTTTTCTAAGCACTGTCATTCCTACTGTATAAATTTCCAGTCCTTACTGTGAGAAATAAAATAGTTCTAGTCAGGGCATGAAAATCCAACCTTGTGATCGGGTGTTAACAGGAAATTTTTCATGCAAAAAGTATGGCAGGAATTTCTTCTGTTCTGATAAAATTACTTCGGCTTAAGAATCCTTTTTTTTCTGCAGAATATTTGGAAATTTTTAGGAATTCTTATGTTTATGAGACCCAGTTTAGATTTCATAACATGGAGATTTTAAATAATAAAAATTTACTTTTTCTTAAGCTAGATGTCTTTATAATTGCATATAATACATTTTATAATTTAAAAATATATCTAAGCTTTCATAAATAAAGACCAAATAGAAAATAATTCCAACCCTAAGGGTAATTATGCAGATTAATAAGAGCCAAATCTATTTTGGCATGTTAAACTTTCAATAGATCTCACACAAAACAGCAGAGCAAGCATATTCTTCAAAGTGTGAGTTTTAACCTTGTTGTTAGTAAGAGGTATTTTGACTCCAAGATAACTGCTGTAAGTGCTTAAGTTAAAGTGGTATAGAGTTGTTAAGTGATGATGTCAGAAAAATCTACTTTATAATTTTTGAAATGTTTTCCCATAACTTGAAAGAGCATCATGAAATACCTCTAAATCTGCAAAACCAGTTAAAGGTATTACGAATTGGCTGAGATATGACCAGATGAGCACAAGCTCTGGCCCCATCAAACCTCTGTAATTTGGTCTCAGTTCATAACTTTATGAACTGAGCCAAAATGACAGTAATCCGTTAGCAAACTGCAAATCTTTGATTGGCTAACCAGATTTTTGACAAATTTAATTGATTTTGCATATATGGTAGTGTTTTATGGTGTTATTACATGTTATATGATCAACATTCGAAAATTCTAAAAATAATTGTTTTGTGACGTCACACTTGAGTACTCTATTGGCCACTAATAGTCATCTTGGAAACTAAAATAGTGGTCTTGCAAAAAGAATCAGTAACGGAAAATTTGGGTCGTTTTGGCTTAGATATTTATCCTGCTGAGGTGCTTATCGCATTTTGCTATCCATTAATAGAGTGACAATCTGTCATGATGCTTATTACCAGTGGTTTAGTGTTCAGGTATCAAAGGTTTACCCAAAGACCACGGTGCATTCCATGTACTTATGCCAGAAGATCTTCAGCATACACACAGGTTTTTTTCGGTGTGCAAACCAATAAAAATTGTTTGGTGTACTTAAAATTTTCGTTAGTTGGCATGCTAAATATGAAGCCATGTACATAGTTAACGTAAAATAAAGACTCATACACCACAGCTTTCTCTAATAATCTGCTTTCTGTGTCTGGCTTAACAATGTTTACAGTTTTACTAACTGCTTTTATTTTTTCGGCGTACCTAAAGAAATGCCCCCGTGGACCTTTGGCAAACAGTTGACATGGAATGCACCCTGGCCCTAAGACTTCCATAGAAAAATAAAAAGCTATGTGAAATTGTAAAAATTAAACATGTTTTAGAAATTGATTATGGCTACTTTTGATGCTCATTCTATCATATTAATTTTAAATTCATGCAAAAATGAGATAACATAAAGTTTTGTTTGGTATACAATTTAGGTGTGCTACAAGTTGTATCTTCTGAATCTGAATAAGCTTTTAGCAACCTGGACTGGTCAAGAAAATCCCAATACTTCCGAGGCCATGCTGATCGATATAAATAGGAAACCGCTGATATAAATAAACAACAGTCCATAAACTATTTTATTGTCTTTAAACTGCTTTTTTATCATAAACATAAATTTGTTCCTAGTCCAGTGAGGTTTGTTGGGAAAAGAAGACGCTCGAATGTTGTTATTGGATTGATAGACCTAGAACATGACGTGCAGATGCATGCAAAAAAGATACATCAAAATCCTAATAACTTTATCTCGGTATCAAAAATTACCTTTTCAGTTTCAAAACTTGGCACCTTTATCGTTCCAAGCACCTACCTTCCCTTTCTTCTTTTTTTTGGTCACGATGTCAAGACGGCGGAAATCGGAATGCCTCTTTCAAGAAAAGCCTCGCTTGCACGTGAGACAAAAACAAACGCTGCAAAAGAAATGTATCACTTTGATTTGATATATTTGGTAACCCTACTGACTCTATCTTAAACATATTATAATGTTAATGATTGTTCATACAAAAGAAAATTGAAGCTTTAATAAAGGTACAGACATATTCCAAATGTCGAGCAAGTCCATTGGTAATATTCTGAACAAATAAGCCTTTTTACTGGAAATTTTTCAAAGTTAACGAGAAATCAGAGAATAAATACTTGTACCGATCTATCTTTATCTTTGCGCTGCCTAGAGCCTTTCTTGAAGTTTGCTTTTTTGTGGTGGAAAGTGGCATACATGCTTTTTTGGCTGATAGGCCTGTTTTCGCAGACCGGTAAAAGAAGCATCTTAGACCATTCATTAAGACAGGAGAGAAAGAAAATTTGGTAATTTAACCGACTATTGCAGAGACATCTGGGCACGTTTGGTCTACAGCGATGTTCAAGATGGACTATTCTAAAATTGCATTCATTAGAAAAGTTTTTTGCTAAATAACTTTCATTCTTGTGATTATTGATGTCATTGTTGCTGAGAAGTATAAATGAAAAGGCAGGGGGAATTGTAGATATATGCATTTTTTCTGAATACTTTCAAAAGAGCAAAATCAATATGGACAGTTTGCAACGTTCCTTCCTTGGTGTTGAATAAGAATAAACTTGACCGAATACAGATTAATTAAGAAACTGAACATCAGGCTTGTTATGTCTCAAGAGCATCGGTTGCCAAATTGTAATGTCACATGTCAATTGTCATTAGTAGTTTCAAAAAGGGTTCGAGCCAGCTCAAATCATTAACAGCTCTGCAAGAATAAAAGGAAGATCTCCCGTAAATGTTTCGTGTTAAAGCTAATCCATCCCATCAAGCTTCGCTGCCTCCGATCTCTTCAGTTTGCTGTACTGTCGATCTTTGACCGTTGGGAAAGGCAGAAAGTGGGAGCAAAATTTCTGTTTCAAAACTAACATCAATTCATCACTCTTTGAAGATACAAGATTTAAACTAAAAGAATCTAATTCACATTACATACATTTCTACACTGGAAAAAGGAAAATGCTTTTTTAAAATTTGGTATAAAAACGTTTAATTCAAGCAGATATGGATAGTGAATGATGCCGATGTAAAAGTACATCGAATCTTCTAGAAAACTCACATAGAGATCTAAAATACAACTGCCACTTCGCTAAAAGGAAGCCAACAAGAACGATATGATTTAGAAAAGCATTGATTGGGTACCTAATTGGGTTATGTTTAACTTTTAAAACATTAGTTGTGCAAGAAAAGCTTGTAATCAAATTGGGATCTGTCTTCACAGATTCTGATTCTAGCTCTCTCCATTATAAACTTTCTCTATTTAAAATCAATTATTCACTACCCTGAAGTATTTTTAGCCTTGTCATACCTTGACATATTCAACCTTTTTAGTTTACAACAATCTTGTCATTTGATGAAAATTGTATTTATCAGGAAGTAACAAATTATCAAAGCAATTTGAAAGATTTGGTATGAAAACGATTTCGATTACTAAACGTTTATTGTCATCGTTTCTTCCATCGCTTTCTTTGGGGTCTTGCTTGGTCATCAGCTTTTGGGAAAACGACGCAAATACACTGCAAAAAGATGGAACGGAATTAAGGCCAATTCATTATCGAATTTTATACCAATTTCTTGGATTTCCTTGCTCAAGGTTTTATGGGAAAAGCGAGCAACTAACTCTCTTATACAGACGAACAGAGTTAGAACGCATAAAAGGAACACCCCTCGATGTAACATGAAAATTTGTCTGTCTCAATAGAGATTACTGAAAGAGTATCATGTAAAACAAAAAAAAAATGAAATAGAAGTAGGTGTGGTATTTAGGTAAGAATTTGATCACACCGCTGCCAAAAGGAGGATATTTTTGCTGTTTGATCACGAATCAGTGACGGGGCCATGAGACTGAGCCACGGGGGAGGGAGGGGGGGGGGGGTTAAAATTTAGTGACATAAGAGGATCCATCATGGTTGGGTCGGACGCGCAAGAAAATTTTTGAAATTAAGCCTTCTAGATGGGCTAGAAATGCATCTCCCAGACCAAAAGTTAACAAAATTCTATAACGTTCAGAATAGACAATTCCACGTTTCTCAGAAAAACATTGATTATTGATTTTTAGGAAAAATTGGGGGGAGAGGGGTGGGGAGTCATGCTAAAACTCTAGTGACAGAGGTTGGGGAAAGAAAGGAAGGGTGACCTTTGGTACAGAGTGCATATCGGTGTGATAAGTTAGTAAATAGATCAAATAAAATCAAACAGTATATAAAAAATTTGCTCTATTTTTCTCATACTCTATTTAAAAAAAAAATAAAAAACAAGAAAAAAGTTTTATAAAAGTGGGGGTGGCTGAAGCCCCAGTGGCGCCGTGCCTGTGAATCAGAGCCCCATGCCTTGAATTCAGGGAGACTACCTGCACCCTTCACCTCCCAGACCTTACGTAGAAATCAACTTGATACAAAATCGAATAAAGATGCCTATAGGTATCATAGGAGTCACAAAAGTATGATTATCGCTGCAACCAATGAAAAAATATAAAACATGGCTGCTCTTAACAACCAATCCCTAGACCTTGTAAACAATGGAATGCTATACCTCCTTTCTCCTTCCAAAAATCTTACAATCTGTCTTCATTCAAATCAAAAGCAAACAAGCATGATCTATCCTCTCTCTCTCTTCCTAACCCCTCCTCCCTCTCCCTTGTAAGGACTTGGCTGTTGGCTCTTGAGCTTTTCCCTAGCATTACCAACTAAAACAAATCGAGTCTTGAATTTTCAAAAAATAATTTACCAATATTTTTATTTCGTTTATTTATCAAAATGTTATGAATTTTCATTACATTTTTGATCCGTCTTCTTTCGCTAAAAGATTCAGAATCGACTACTCATTAAAACACCTGACCCCAGGTTTTCAATTCGAACAAATGGGCGTGCCTGTAAAGAGGTGTTAAATTACTGAGCCAACGACATGTACAAGTAGCGTAAGCTCTTACCGCCAATATTAATGTGCTCGTAACAATATCTTCAACTTGTTCCAAATACAGAGTTAAGGAAAATATTGAAGCTACCACCTGCAGCCAAAATATATGAGTTTGGTGTACAGCATCGTTAATCTTCCCCTTCAACAAAACTTTCCGCAAATCGTAATTTCTTAGTCTATCTTAAAATCTAATGACCAGGAAGGGCTTTTCTATCCACTCAAAACCTATTGACCAATAATGGAACCTCAATGAAAAATGTTGGAACATATGAAGGCATCTACTTCAAGCCTACGTCAAAAGAGCGCTTTGTGACAGGTGCCATTAAATATAACCTCAAATCTTTCTCAGTTCAATATTGAGTTGATAAGAAGCAATTTCCTAATCAAGGCCCGAGCAAGGATTCTAACAGCAGGTGCTCTATACACTTTTCTAGACAAAAACATTGCTATAGGCGAAAAATCTATTGAATATGGGGAAATTCCCCGTCAGAAAGTGCAACCAAATATTCCCCTTGTTATAAGAGAAACTTCTAACTAAAATGTCTCAATGTCAGGTATATCTTCAGGTATAAAACAATAGCTTATCTTATCCTGCCTTAACGGATTACGCTGCTCGCTTTGCCTGGCCTAGCCGCGACAGTGGACGACATTTGAAATTGCCATAAAAAAGGCTATCAGAAGTGGCAAGAAGATTTAGTTACAGGATTGAGTGATGATAATGAAAGAATTTCTTTTCCCTGTTGAATAATCTGTCGCAGAAACCAAACAGGGACAAAATCTGTCCAGCCACAGCTTCACTACAACGGGAACACAGCCATTTTATTCAAAAGCTCTGGAATCAAAGTTGTCTCTGATTGGTTTAAATCGTTTAATTATCGATCAAGCTCAACGGTGCGTGAATTTCACTCCCGTGAAAATTAAGCTGAGCACAATAGGGGACAGACTGCCTTTAAAAATAACCAAAAACCATTGTGAAAGAACCATCAAAACGACGCCTTAAGTTTGGTGGCGCACCTTCCAACCACGCCCAAGGACTTATCACGCTGTCCAAATGAAAAACGTACGAAATAGTTACAAAATAACTAAAAACGCAAAATTTTCTTCATAAGGACACCATTTATAAGAACACTGAGGCCCATACCACCTCTTACTTCAACAATCCGTGCTACTAAAAATGTCATGCCAAATTATTATTTGTTGTGGTCACAGTATGCAGCTGCAATTTATAGTTTCAAGATAAAATAAAAGTTCTGTTATTTTACCTGTAAAAATTAACGATGGAACAAGAAATAAAAACATCGAGCCTTATCAAATATTATCTGGTTGTTCAAAAAAGAGAGTGTAAACTCAAAAAATTACAATATATTGACATGATTTCAACTTGAAATATTCAATCAATAAATTACAGTTCAAAACCTTGTCTCGTTGTTAAGCAAAAATATATTCTGCGCCACTGTACCATTTAACAATTTAGTCATTACCGACCATTCAAAAACGAATCGTAGGAAAAATTTGATTTTAGGGAATATTTCGAATACTCGTGGCAATAGAGGGGCAGACAACCCACAATAATATTTTAAGATGCAATCCTGCCAATCGCTACCATGATCGTCTGCGAAACACTACAGCAGGAAAACCATCGTCTTATGCCCTCCCAAAAGACCCCCCCCCCCTCCAGTAAAGCAAGCTATTCCCAGGCAACAGTGCCATGCACCTTTTCAACGACGGTAGGTGAGACAATAACATACTTTTTCCAACTGTATCAGTTTTCTTCAAATTGATTAAAAAATGTACAATTTGGAGCTTATGACTTTTGGTGGACAACGTTTTCTAAATTTTAGGAACTAAACACTTTGACAAATTGAACGAATTTCAATAATTTACTCAATAACGAATATCAACGCAACCATAAAAAAACATATATGTCGTAAAATCTAAGCTTACGAAGGAACGGTTTCGCGCACAACCAAAACCACCAATTCTAGCAGGAAATTCAAGAATCTCCCAACCAATAGTTTCACATTGAGTTTAATTTGACAGGCAAATAAATTATTCAAACCTTAAAAACCATTTACACGCAGGAAATCATCGAAAACAATGCGCAAGTCAAACCACTAAAAGCCATGCTACGGGACGATCTTCCCACAGTCAGGATAGCTTATTGTGTACAGTATGTATAGGCAGGCACAAAGGAACAGGTAAAGCAATAAAGACTACTAGGAAATTTTAAAATGGCCAATACACGCATTTTTGATAAGAAACAAGCTATGAGAAACCGAATGTCCAAAACGTTAAGAATCATAGTACTGGCCACCCTCAAGCTCAAGAAATTGCTCTAAAATCCATATATTAAAGATGGGAAGGGAATTATTCTCTTCACCAATTACCAGTTGAATTTTCAAATTGAAATAAAAACCTCTTGCGACTGATTCGGTCTTCTATTTCATGGTATCCTTCATTACAAGTTTCTGTCTCTAGTAAGTGGTTATTTGGCACTTGGCATTTTCGATACCTTGAACATTTCAGCACTCAAACCAACAGAAAATCAAGAAACCTGGTGCTTACCCCAAGCTTAGTTACTTATAAAAAATGCCTGTAAAAGAAGTAACCTTATTCTTTCTAAAATTCACATTTAAAAACATACACATTATATATACTCAAATTATTAACATTCAGTTAGACCTCAATTCTAGATAATGGCAAAAATTTTATTATAATTATAAAAATGTAAGAGGCCACTTTAAGTAATAATTTTAAAAAGTTTTTTGGATGTCCTAAGAATATTTAGGCCTTAGACCTGATCGCAATTCAGCCTAAAAATGGGAAACAAAACGTTGAACAACAAATAACTTTGAATATAAAATTTTCGCAATGCTTAATATCTAGCATTAGGCTATCGTCTAATTATCTTTGTCAATAGTCTGAAACGCCATTAAATATTACCTACCTCAAACAATATTCAATCTAGTTACCATATTGGTTATTGAATATTTTTTACATCATAAAATACATACACTACGATTCTTAAAAGCCCTGTTACCATTGTATCATTGAAATATCTGAAAAACTTGAAGGCGGTGACGTAATCAAATGACAGCATATGTTGCGTGTGGTGGGCGGGATCAGCTGAAGGGAAATGGCCCGTTCAGATGTGAACACCAATATGATTTCCCCGCAGCTTAGGGGAAATATTCACGTCCTTCATTCGTGTTTACGTTTCAAAACAGGTGCCTACTTGAAGAAAAACCTTAAGTCCCATATGTTTAAACAAATATTGTGGTCATTTGATTTAATTCTAGTTAAGTATTGAACTTACTCGAAGTTTACCACTTAACTTCACAAACCCGTCGTTAAAACTGTTCAAAGTCGAATTATTCGTATTTCTGAAGCGAAAACTGAGGCTGAAGCTTCCAGAAGTCAGCAATAAAAGTCAACATGAATCCCATTTTGCAAACAGCGAAAAACCACTCGCCAGCTTGTGCAACAGAGTAGCCAGGCCGGTTGAACTTCACAAGTGATGGCAGTAAAAACACCCCAAAAATAAGAAACCCCAGTAATACGCCAGCTGATAAAACCCCTCGTAGAATGAGTAACGATGTTC